CATCTTAGAAGGAAAACTTTCACAAGGCAAAGTGTAGCTTAAGAAAACATGTGCAAATTGTATTTTTGGCAATGCATTACATACTGTTTTTCTTTTTTGCATACTACTTACGTAGTACATGAGGCGTAGAGAATGTATTGTAAAGTAGCGTTAAAAAAGAGAGTTGTTTGTAATGTTCGACAGAAAAACTCGTATTGCGGAGTACTGTTACCGAAAATTTGGATAAATCATGTTCCAATATGTATTAAATTGTTTACGTAGTAGGACAACACGTAGTGCAGTCCGAATCCATTTTTTGTGGGCCCTTGATACCGATACGATAGGTTTTCGGCGAAACGGAAGCCTGTCCATCTGCTCATCTGAGAAGAAAGATAGTGGCTAACCGGGAAGCATGATTGAATATTTGAATTGATATTACCAGAGCGATCGGCCTGGTTGTGATGTTGATTTTGAAAAGGATATTTTTATTTCGAAAGATGAACTCCATGAAGACTCCAAAGATTTTTCTAAAATCACTCCAAATGTTATATTTAATTGTTTCCCAGATAGAACAAAAAATGCGTATAAAATTGCACATGTGACATTTTCTTTTCAATCACAGAATTTTTAAAAATTGCAAAAGATCAACATTTTTTCGAGCTCTTCCTACAACTATAACACAGAAAATAGAAATGTTTTTCTTCATGAAATGTTTCCTTCAAAGTTGAACTTTAAATAAGGTCATGTACAAGTTTTTAAAAATCTAATAGTCTTCACGTAATTTTGAGTGAAATTTAAGCAATATTATAAACCTCTCAAAAATAGCTTCTTTCTTTTAACTTTTGGTTAGATAGTGCTACATTAATTGAATAATATTACATAATCGCAATTCTGATGCGTTCTTTAGTTCTTCAAAATTACACAAAGGAATTTTTAGAGACGCTCAAACGTATTTTTTCTGAAAAAGACTTCATATTTTTTAATGAAAATCTACTTTAATAACCATGCTTTATTTTTTTATGATTTTCTCCAAGTTGTATTTCAATTGTTCTATTAGGGGATCGAAAGAATCATGAAAATGTGAAAAAAATGTATTTTTGGCGGCGATGGGTAGCCTCTGGGAAGAGGTTCTGAGAAAACTATCCCAGAGGGAAGAAAGAGATTAGGAAACTAATTAGCTCCAGAAAGTTTGTGCAATTCTGGAGCACCTTAACTTACTGTTTTGACGATTAGTTAACCAATAGTTAACCTATTAATCGATATAGTTAGCCAGTAAATCGGAAATAACAGACGGGGTTGAAGTTCTGAAACCGAGGCGAGAGCCAAAACAAATAAGTCTGTAATTTGTGTTACCGTCCGTGTGTCAATGCTTCAATGCTAATGGTAATACCATCTTCTTAAGAGAAAAAATCATATTTAAACAAGAAATATAATTACCGGAGGGATTGCTCATGGCATCAACTGATGTCACTGTTGTGCCTCTGGCCGAAAGGTCCTAGGTTAGTATGGCCCGACGGTGGTAGGGTTTTCGACACTAGCTAGATAGTAGCTAGATCGAATTCAGTCCCTGTCTGGAGGAAAATTCTAGCGGCTGGCAGCTCTGATCGGTAGTTTTCCGTGGTTTCTCCGATCAATACCAGGCAAATGCTGCAGCAGTACCCTCACAAACGGACCACGGATCGCGCACGATCTTTCCTTCCCATTACTTGTCCTCACCCCTTACACATACTTACTCACACATGCACTACACTACCACTCATGCCGGAAACTTAGAGCTTGTCCTACTTGGGGATGTGCGCCCCGCTGGTGGGAGATCCCTGTTTGGGGAAAACCCCGCAATCCGACGTAGGATTCCGCCGTCCAGCGGGGCAAGATTGCCGTCACCGCCCGAGCAAAAAACATGCGCTACACTTATGGGACAATGACCTTAGCCGTTGACGTGCCCGGAATCACTAGTGTGACGTCATGGATACTCTCAGCGAACACAGACACAGAGTTTCAGCACGCTCGGAACACGCTTTCATATAACAAATATTTATTTACAAAGAAAAACACAACAAATATTTATAATGAATTTCCTTCTTACACCCTAGCTCTGATAGAACTACTATCCCCTGATCGCGGGAGCGATCCAAACCCGATTGGTGATCGGTTTCGATTGTAGCTTTCGCCACTGCTACTTCTGAAGCCCACACAAAGCCAAGCTTTCCGTGACGGTGTCACACTGGGAACACAAAGTCCCGTACTGGGTACCAACTGATGGTTTGCCTCGATCGCAGGAGCGATCATACCGATTGAGAATCGGCGTGAGTCGTGCTCTCAACCACTCCTCACCTCGGAGCACGCACACAGCATCGCTCCCACATGACCGCAGTCCCCCGAGGGCACAAAATCCTCCACAGGCTCGTCAACACACGACTTGCCTCGCGAGCCCTGCCCGCCGCACCACCCTGACGCCAAGTTTTAGAACCCACCCACTGGCTCTGTGCACTCCGTTATATAGTCGAGGCTCACGTGACCTACTACGTCACGCCGCCCCCACCGCGCTCTATTGCTAGGCATGAGCGGTTGAGCTCCGTTCTTAAGACCGGAAGACCCCAAAGCCTCGTGTCTCCCGTTTCAGCGTTCTTTCTTTACCCTTCTCTCCTTCCTATGGCGAGGAGTTTCCTCTTACTAATCCCTTACCAAGCGTCCCCAAATAGATGCCACGAGGCACGTTGGCTAATACATTACACTAATATAATTAATAAATCAATCAATGAACCTAAGATTACTCTTTTTCTGCTCAAGTTCCGAGATTCCGAGAGCGACGAGGAGAAGTACAAAGCGAAACGCATCAACCTTAGCAAAGCATGCGCCAAGGCCCCGAAACTGACCAAGGCCAAGTTGCTGTGGTTCATCTCCAACCTCTCCAAACGCGCCGAAGCCACGGAGGATGGCGGCGCAGCAGGTATGATAGCGATTCCACTTGGTTTTTTTTTTTTTTTTTTTTTTTTTTTTTTTTTTTTTTTTTTGAAATTTTGTTTAATTCTTTTGACGTTGACCTTCTTTAGACCTACACATTTCTTGTCTCTCATCAGCGTGCCTATATTGATCTTCTATATATTCTTCATTCTCATAATTTGAATTCGGCTCCAGGAGAAAGGAAAAAAACATTTTTTACAACTTTTCAGGAGAAATTAAACGTACAATAATACTCACACTGTGTGAATTCACTGTGATAGCACTAAATTGTTTTTTAATGCCGTTTCAACTAAATCACTTTTATGTGATCAGAAATAGGGTTTAATTGTTTTTAACATGTTTCCTTTCTCCTCAGGGTCACAATCGAGTCTAAAGAAAACTGGATACCAAAATCATAAATGCAATACATTTTACATAATATACTATTTAAGAATATTATATTTCTTTAGAACAATAATTTATCCAATGAAATAGATATTTGTGTAGCAACAATTGGCTAAATTTATTACAAATTACGTATTGTAAAGAGTTTGGAAGAACAATCACGTGGCTCAATTTTCTTTTGCTTCTTGTATTGATTTGTAAAATTTATCAGCTCTTTTTTTGTGGGTACGAATTTCATCCTCTATTGCATGTTTCGCATACAAACACAAATACAAACTTGTACTTAATTTTTACCCCAAACCCTTCTCATTTGCAGCCAACTTGAGGTCTATAAAATCTACGTTTAAAATTTTCTTTAAAAATTAAAATTAAAGAAGTAGTATTGCAGGCATGGTATCGCAAACCCTGCATGCAAATCTTCAGGCGCCCATGGCAAGCATAGAATTTGCGTTCAGGGGCGTATTAACGTTCGGGTCCGCAGTGCGGGCCCAGGTAAAAGGGGGTCTAGTTTTAAGGAATATTTTTATTATTTGCTATACCCTTTTTATAAAGGGAGCCCATATAAAAGTTTTGCGGGCGGGCATGCGTCAATTTCGTTACGCTACTGTTTGCGTCCCTATCAGAATACTTCAAATTAGGGTTGATTAACTGAGTATTCTCTAAATAGCTTTCCTGTTCATTGCTCGTGCCGTGTCTGCTGCACCGTAGATACTCCACTGCATGCACTGCCTTACGCAGTGCAAACATTCAAAATCAATATTATAGTACTGAGGAGAAACGGAACATGCCGGTGACCCTTCCTCCGCAGTACAGCTACCTCGATCTTGCAATTTATCGCCTAAACACTGTTATAGCATTATTCCTTTATTCATAGTACAATTTGCCATGCCTTTTTCCAAAATAAAAACAAAATATTGCATTTTTGATTGGTTCCCTTTCCCCTCATGCTGATTCAATTACCTAACAAAAAAAGAATTTTTAGACATTTTATCCTTTGGATTTCTTAAGTAGGTTCGATCATTAAATACAAGATGTACAATCACATCTAAAAATTATGTGATGTTATATTAATTGTTTGTATTATTTATGTGTATTTACAAAATGAATCTATGAAGGACTGAATCCTCAGTTCCTTCACATGCCATTGTAAAACTTTGTCAAAAGATTTGCCTATTGATCGGATGTAACAGATTACAAATAAAAATATATAAAATAAAAAATATATATTTACGTCTGGAAGTATATAATTATCTTATTTTATTAAAGAAAAGCTTCAGAGAGGCAGTTATTGTTAACGATAACATACACTCAAGTTGACAATTAATAATCACGATATTTCTACAATTGATTGGTCTTCATTAAGTATTCATCTAAAATTGTTTTTTTTCCAAAGTCGCATTGTATAGCTAATGTTTAACAATAAGACAGTTCTCCTCCTCTTACATTGTAGATAATGTTTTGTGTTTTAAATTTTTTGTACATCTCAATTAATAATAAATGGAATTGAAATCGGTAAATGTTTTTGAACATTGTAAAATTTCCAAAGAAAGTTTTTTGTTTTAATGAACTAATATATTGAAATACTAACATCAATAATTGGAAAAAATATGTGTAGTTTCCATTCCTAATCATCAAACAGGGGAAAGTATAAACATAGTCAGATCAGATACAATGTAAAATATGAATGACAAAATCTTGAAATAAATATTCAATGAATTCTTTGAATTTCAGTTACTTAGAACTCTTGTAAGTGCTGCATCAGATGAAAATTTGCTTGAAAATGTTTCTCTAATAAAAGCATTTCCGGAAAACTTTGAAGAAATACAAATAAGACGTTATTGTGCATCCTTGGAAGAAACTATGCAAAAATTGGAAAGCATGCGAGAAGAAATAAGAAGAAGATCCACTGGTTCATATCCTGGAAGGTAATAAATGATCTATCTCAACAAGAATAATTGTGTCTAGGACACATGCTTTAACTAATTCTTCTTTGAATTATATTTTTGAAAAACAAATTATAAGTAGGTATCAAAATTACAAATTACAATTTATGGATATTGAATATGAGTTTGTAGGAGATGAATTTCACCATGCATTTAAGAGCTCTTTGTATTATTATTTCTTTATTTACATTGTAGCATCACAGTTTGAGCATTATTTATTATGTAGTGAATGTCCTTAGACAAGCAAAGTAGTAATAAACTTTTCCTTTGCTTAACAAATACAAGCTGTCTCAGATCATGTGGGGAAAAACACTAGCATCATTCTCTCATGTTCCAAACACTTTACACTTTTTTAAGAAACCATCTCTTTATGAAGATACATGCAATTATTTCTTAGTACGATGTTCTATTGACATTTAAACTGACTGTTGCACGGTCTCTATTTCTTGACGTTCAACAACGTTGAGTGTAGCACTTCTGCACCGTAAAGTGTTCTAGCAAGTTCATGAGACTTAGCAATCACTTCAAATACTCTTTTCTGATGGTAGAATGGTGCAAAGTGCAGTGATAGATCCTGGGAGGAGGGGAGGTTGGGCCATGACCTCGTAATTTATTGGAAATGTAAATGGTTTTCTCAATATTTGTAAGATATTCAGCAATTAGTTGGCCTGACCAATTCTGATAATGCATTTTTTAATAGATCAACAAATCATCTTTAAGAAGCTAAATTATTCTGGAAATTAATCTCTAAAATTGGGATGCAGGATTAGATTTATTAACAGCTCATCCATTTACAAATAATAATATTAACAATATTTATAATAAAAATAATAATGATTGTTGTGTAGTTTCATTTTTGAGTACAGTTCTTTAGATTTCCATCACAATACATGATCTAATGGATCTGTTACTTATCACCTTGCTTTCTTACAAGTATGGCTGAAGAGGAGTTGAAAGATACTTTAAAAGAAGCCCAAAAAGAAGCAAAGGAATCAGAACCTATTTTCAAAATGTATAGAAACATGAATCAGTCTGAAATTATAATTTCTCTGGCTTCTGAAGTAAATCAATTGAGAAAAGAATATGATGCAATGCAGATTCAACATCACAAGGTGCAGGATGCATTTGCTGCTGTAAAAGGTAGAGTAATAAACATAAATGGTGAATAAAGTAGAGAATAAAATAGTCAATAATGAACTAAATACATTTAAATTTTCATTCATGAATATATGGTACATATATGTTTTAGGACAAAAATCTTGGAATTTATTGTGCAAGTGTGTAAAAGAAGTAGATCATATGAGACTTGTGGTGAGTAATAACTTTTATGGTGATTATTAGTTATTAGGGTAATGAAACAAGTTTGATATAGACATAATAATGAAATGACTAATAACATCATAATCAAACAATAAATTCATACTTTGTGAAATGGATGATAGTTCAAAGAAAATACAAAGATTTTCATCATTGCTCAATGCTTCATTGAATTGTGTATACTGTTACAAAATGCACAGGAGAGATGACAGTAAACTACATAAGTCTTCCCACTTCCAAATGAAAATCAGGTTTCTGAACCCCCTATGCAGACTAAATCATTAACCAGTTAAGAAATAATAACAAATACTGAACTTTGATGATATTTCTTTAACAAATTGACATGCTCATTTCCAGTCAGATTGTGCTTGTATCAATTCCACCTGGGAGATACTGGATACATTATATTGAAACAAAACTGTTAATCAGTTATTTATGCAGGTCTAACAAACGAAGTACTATACAGTGATATCATTGCAAAGAAATGAAGAAATTCTGTAATTACAGACGAAGAGACTATTTGATCAATTTTAAACATTTTCACCAAAATTTATACTTCATTACTTCCCTTATCAAATTTCACTCATGTAGCCAACTTCACTCCTTTAATTTTTCCGTCTTTACATTGAAATTGACCAAATTCCTCACAAAATATTTACGAACTTGTTCTGATAAAAGATAGAATTTTTAAATTCAAGTTGTTTAAATTCAACAGTATTAAATTACTTTTCATTTAGAGATATGATTGCATTGAAGAACAATTAATTGTGAGAGTTGATTATTTTTATAATCTTTAGTAATATTTTACTATAATTGCGCAGTATAACAGTATATTTCAACACAGCACAACAAAAGTGACACATAATTGACATTTCCAAGAGAACTGTTTTATTCTGAGTAGACCCATTTACTCTGCATCTAATGGCAAAGTGACTCTTACTCCATCTACCAATTATCTTTAGAAGATATTTAAGAATTATCTTCTGAAGTATCTTCATGAACTTTTTCCTTGTAAAAATAAATAATTTCCTAACCTTATTTCTTTAGTTTACTCAAAAATGAATATTTTGAAATTGAAACACTTTTGTTGTGTGTCAATATTCTCTCTGATACATACATAATTCTCATTATACTGGAAAAGGTGAATGAAACATCTTGAATAAACACATGCCTTACAATCCATTTCATGTTTGTTACTAGTTGAATGAAATGACAGAGGGGCAGTTTGAGCAGGGGATCATTGAATATGTGGATCCAAAAAGAGTAAACAATCTTGAAAGAAGACTCACAAGAACAGATAAAAATTTACAAATTATGGAACTTGTTTTAGACAGACTTCAAAATTTCAAAGCAGACACTGAGGCAATGTTGGCAAAATGTAATCCTATCCTTGAACAACTGTATATCACCGAGCAAAAGGAAGACACAACCATACAGGTAAAAGAAAAGTTAAACTTCATATATTTCATTAATAATAATAACTTGTTTACTATGTATTGAATCAAAAAAGAAATTAAAAAAAAAATACATGGGAAAAAATTTCACTTTCAGTTGCCATCCCTTCACTTTTCTCCTAAAAGAACTTGCAAATATTTTATTAAAAAAAAAGTAAAATTAATGATGCTACAGCAGCACATACTTTGAAGGGGTGTGAGATGGGATTCGGGCAGGTTTGCCAAAGCACATGCACACTAAGCCTGTGGGTTCGAAACCCACAAAAGTAATGAATGTTCTCTGTTGTTTGAGGCAGGGGAGGGGGATTTTGAATCACATGTTTATTATATTTATATGCCATCACCATTCCTCAATATCTTGGCCAGACCGATAATTGATCTGTGTGAAAAATTGGGGGATAGAATTCTTTTGCCCAGAACAATCGTGCATGCACTGAAGCGGGTCCATGATTTACCATGGGTAAATATAAAAATGTACAGGACAGAGATGTCTATGCAGTATTTGTTGGGGGTGAATGTGCTCTTTTCCACACTCCAGAGGAGCGGTATGTACCATGAGAGATCCTGGAAGTCTTTTAGGCGCCAAATGATTCATTGATTGATGATTCCGCGTGTGTCAACTGTTACGGTCGTTAGTCCCGTAAGTGTAGTGCAGTTTTATCGCGGGATGTGGATGTGATCTTCATCCACTGGATGGTGAGATCCTGCGCCTACCTACACGTCTACCAACGTGGGGAGGGGGTCTCAAGCAGGTGTATCCCACCAGCTGGGCACTGCCCCAGCAAGGACAAGCTCTAAGCTCCTGACCAGTCTCCCGGCGAGTGTGATGATGTAGTGCATGTAAGAGGCTAGGAGAGGACAAGAAACAGGCAGGAAAGATCTCATGCGGTCCGTAGCCCGTTTGTTAGAGTACCGCTTCGTTATTCACCTACTGTGGAAACCATGGAAAACAGCCGATCAGAGCCAGCATGGCAGCCATTCAGACAGACAGCAATTCAGCCAGGCAGCGACTGAATTCGACATAGCTACACAGCTAATGTCGAAAATCCTGACACCATGACTCGAACGTAAGTACTTCCTGGTCTGAGGCACTGCAGCGAGTCAGTTGATACCCTGAGACACCTAAGCCACCTGTTTTTAGACACTGAAAAGGACAAGAAACTGACTAGAAGAAGAAAGGCGATGCATTCTGTAGCGCCATTGGTTTTACCTTGCAAATTATTCTTCTGTATATGTTGCCTTGCATTCCAGTTGGAAAACTAAGCTGCATTGTATTTCAGTTAATCATGGGTAATTAATTCATCATACGTTAAATAAAATGTCTTAAATTTTCACGGGTGGAATTGGTTTCTTGATGGGGTTTGGAGCAGAATTAAAGGTGACACACTTGACAGGAATGAATCATCTTGACGGTTATAAAAACAATCTTGAAAGTAATAAAACATACTTAAAGTATTATGTTAGTCAAAAACGGGTTACCGCCCCTGCCGTCTCTCCTCCCCCTCAGACCACACCACATGATCAAGAAAAAACTTGGACAAATATTTGCTTGTGTGGTCTAACCTGTGGAAGTTAATGGACTGACGGAGAAGAAGAAATGTTACTGAATTATATATTTCTTTTTCTAGGACTTAAGGAATGCAAATGAAATATCCAAGCGAATTGGAAAAATGGAAGTAGATGTGGAATCTATGGCAAATGTAATCACAGTGCTGATGGCAAGACTTGAAGGAAGAATTGCTCTAATTGAAGTATGTAAAGAAGTATTTTCTTTTTCTTACATATTTAGAATTAAAATATAAATACAACAGAAAATTGATAATCAGGATTAATTGGAGCCTTGGGGGATAAATAGAGTCATTCTTTAAAGAAAAAGAAACTTGCTAAAATTATTTGCAATTCATTCTGATAGTTACATAAGTTAATATAAGCAATAATTAATATATAATATGGTTATTTCTTTTTCATTAATTAATAATTTTAATAAAATTATTAAGTCATGTTGATACTTTCAAACAAGTAAATGCATGCACAAAGTACGAACTTTTTTTTTAATCAGAATCGAAACTGAATTATTCAGGATCCAGATTTTTGATGCCCAAATTTTAGATGCACCACTGTAGTTACGATGTAATATATGTTAGTCATGGTGTGGTAATGAAATACTTTTGAGGAATATGGGACGTTGCTATCAACTCTTACATTGTCGTTAAATGAGTTTAGTATATACGGAAAAATACTACCAGGTTAGTTTCTGTATTTCTACTATTAATTGGTAAAAAAAACAGTGATAGAAAGTTCAATAGTACAAAAGCATTTAATGGGGATGTTTAAGTTAGTAGAGTTGCATCATGTTTATAAGAACTTCTATAACGTTCATCAAATGTGTTAACAATATTCAATCCATTTTACAATGATTATGAACCATTCAATATTCCATTAGAAAGTCCATTACTGGATTTAGTTGTGTCTATGTATTATCAAAAATATTACATAATTCATTTTGAAATAATGAAACTTTTTGATTTCTCCTAACATTGTAAACTTAATTGTGACTATCACTTTAGGAACAACATTGATCAAACTATTTGAACAGATTTATAGAACCTTTGTAAAGTTTTAAATTACATTTATAAAGTACTAGTTTGTGTATCATTGTGAATACCCATCAGGTTATTGATTGAAGTTATTACATTTGTTAAACTAAGAGTTCAATTTGTCAACAAGTATACATCAGTGCTTGCTAACTCTGTTTTATGACGTCACAAAAATCTGCTCTCGGAACTAAGTCGCGTAGTAAAGGTAGTGCCGGGCGCAGCAGCGGGCGTACAGTGTTCCAATAATGGTACGCAAGTGGGGGGAAAGGTTCGCTCGATACTTACGTTTCAAAAAAGTAATTATTGTTTTAAAATGTATGATTCAATAAAAATAAAAAATTAAAAAGTTGATCGTGGATTATTTCATAACACAAAGCAATATCCGAATCTATTTATCATAACCAGTATACTATAATTCCACTACCATTCTCCTAACACATAACATGTTTGGATAAGTCCAGTTTTAACATTCTTGTACAATATTTTACACAATGTTATATAATAAAAAAATAGTTGGTCTCTAACCAATAACACAGGCACACAAAATGAAAAACGTTCTAAATAGGTAAAATAAAAAAGACCCAAAGACTTGACTCATGTGTCTCTATGTATGTCAACGCCTGAATCCGAATCTAAAGCGAGAATTGCGCCACCATCCTCCAGTTTTTTGTTGTTGTTTTTTATCCACCATATTATTAAATTTTTTATAAATATATATTATTAAAACCATCGTGGCATTGTATTTTTTTTTTTTTTTCGGGGGTTCTAGTCAGACGCAAGACTTGACTCATGTTTCTTTACATACATCAAAGCGCTGAATCATCGACATATATAGAGAAGCATGTATCAAGTCTTTGGGTCTGACATTTTTATTTTTTTTATTTTGTGTGTCTGTGTTTTTAATGTTAACAAATAGATACAAATAGATTCCAGGGAAGGGTCACGTGGGAGAATATGGACTCCAGGCTTGATTAATTATATAGTACAGTTTTGTTTGAGATTGTAAATCCTCGTGATTTTCAATTCTCTTTCCACAATCTTCTATCTGCAAAATCCTTTTCTCATTTCATAATTGCAGGCTATCTGTACATTTTTAGAAATTATTTTCATCTCAAAGGTTTCTCTGAGTTGCAAAGCTGCGTAATGCCTCTGTCGGTTGAACTTTTTAACATACTGCAGTTCTTTTGAATGCACTAAACACTTCGCCATTGTTACGGTATCTACAAAAGGAAACCTTTTCTTCCGAAACCGAAAGAAAATTGATGGGTGTAGATGGTCTGCCACTCATGTTCCCTGAAGCATCGGCAAAGACCCACAGGTTTTCGTTATAGGCGACCCTCCCCCTCCACCTTTTGCTCGCACCACTTCTCGGGTTCGCGGGAAGGCGAACGCGGAGGGGAACGGAGCTCCGACGTCATTTCCCCACCAGTTGGCAAACGCTGGTCTATATGATTGCCTTAATGACGTAATTTCTTTTACCCTATAGGTTAATTTTTTAACTACCAACTTTTATCTGATATTTAATGCTAATAATATTTTTTTCGTAGGCTACTGTAAAAAAAATGCAACTTTTGGATGAAGCTAAAGCGGACAAAGATTATGTACAGAGTACATTCCCACTAATGGCTGATAAAGAACTTGTTAATAAGACAGTGACTTATGAAGATATGGCCAAAGTATTTAATGAACTGGGCGAGAAGCTGATGAATTGCTTTGGGTGTATAATGGATATAGTAAGATACTTTTAAAAGTTATTACAATATTTCCCTAATCCTTCCTGACTGTTTGGCCTTTCAGCTTTTCTTCTATTTTCAAACTGATTCATCATTTCAGAATTTATTTTCCTTCTCAGCTAACCCATTGGATGTAGCTCAATGGAGTAGACCCTATTTTATTTATCATTTCGTTATTTTGCGGGGACGTGGCCATAGGGCGTAGTTCTGCACCTGTATTTTCGACGCAAGCTTCCTTTGAAGCCTCACTCTGGCATGGGTCAGGGGAGTCTTTTCTCAAGCAGGCAGGCTTTGGGCGTCTCCTTGGCATACCTGGATATGACTCTCACTTCCCAAGCACCTGTCAGAATTCTTTTACATGACGCAAGCAAGACATGGCCACTAAGGGAATTTCTACCCTGAAAAAATCCACTCACTTCAATTGGGATTAACCCACGCACTGGGAGTTCAGAGGCCAGTAAGCTAACTACTCATGCACCGAGATGTGCAGAGCAGACCATAATTACTGGAAATGGAAAGCATTCTCCACTATTTTCACTTATTAAATTAAGGAAATCAAGTTTCCAATATAAGCAAAATTCTGTTTTTATGGCAAAATCTAGCTAACAAAATTTAAGGCCAGGAAAGGAAATCGTAATTGTTCATATCACACTTATGTTCCACACTGCTTCATAAGATTTTACAAGCCTCATTATAGGAAATTTAATAGTATTACATGCAGTTTTTTGTAGTTTTCAATGTTTATAGGATAGAGATGAAGTATGAACTTACCTGTGAACTTACCTTCAGGTGAGAAAATATTCACTGGAGAAAATTTGCGTGGACTTCATCTCAAAATATTCTTAAATCTATCATTGAATACATAACAAATGTTTTACATTCAGTTGAATATCTATGAATGAATTTTGCATGCAGAAACTACTTGGCTGTTTAGGAAATGCATTGTCTTAGGCACAGGTGCGAAAGTTTTGGCCACCATTCTGCAACCTTACTTGAGGCATTTGCATTTCACCCTGAGGAGGGTTGCAGAATGTCGGACAAAACATCAGCACTTGTTTGTCTCCCAAAGAGCCGAGTAGTTACTGAATCCTGCAGCAGAAGCTTAAGCTTGTATTTTGCATGCATCACTCTATCTCCTCTTAGTCATACATAGTTAGTTGTAAAGAAGTTTATTATAAAAAGGAATAATATGTTTAAAATTTCAGATATATAACAAAATATGATTGGTTATTTTTTCATTTGGATTTAATCTTTGTTAAATCATATTTCTGCTGGCACCTTACCAAAAATATTTACTCTTGTCTGAAATTATTTAGATGATGAAATGGGATGGAAGACTGGAACAATTTCAGTTGGATACAGCATACTCAATAAACAAAAATGAATTTTCCCAATTAATGGAAATACTAGATAAAAAATTAGTATCTCTGTACATGAGAGTGAAAGATTTGGAAATTGGTCACATTCAGGAACAAAATTATAGATCCAAAGATGATATGATTGTATTCAAGTGAGTATTATTTATAATATAGTGCTTAGAAAACTATCTCTAACAAGCTTCTTAAATTTTAAAAAACTTCATATAGTGTAGATATTACTTTAATTTGGTTGCTTTACCTTATAATCAATCTAAATTGACATTCTTCCTATTAAAAAAAACTATTTTCAGTGAAAGAAAAATTAATTTGCCTCTTAAGTATGTTACAAAGAGTTTTCTCTGTATTTGTAAGGGGGATTCTAGTTCTTTTCATTAGTTTAAAGAATGAATAATTTTTTTTTCTCCTTACACATTAATTAAAATTTTTTGTCTGAATATTTGTTTTTAAGAAGCGTAGAAACTAGCAATGATTATTGCAAATTTGATTGCATTGAATAATATTAATTTAAATTGATTGTTATGTTTAAACTGTTTCTGTTTATTTGGAAGATTTTTTAGTTCATTTTTTAATCCTGCAGTTGTTACATCCAGACACTCTGGTCACACAAATTTACATTTCTCTTTCCTTTAAATATCTTTCACTCTAAAAATCTTATTATTTCAGTACCTTCCTACAACAATTTGTTTCAATCACTCTTTCATTTTGGTTTGATCAATGCAGTAGCGTCTGTTATCAGCAATTCCAGACTCCCTGTTTAACACCACTACTCAGATCATATTCTCAGAATGTTTAGAATAGAAATACATGATTATATAAGTAGAGTCAATGAATTATGTTAACTTATACATGAAGTGTACAGTTTTTGTGGAATTTTTTAAATCTTGTTGGTTTGTTAAAAATTGTTTCTTGAGAAATTCAGTATTCACTACATATATTTTGGAAAACTTTACAATCATGAAGCATAAGATTAGTTTTTCATTTTTATTAAATTTATATTAAAATATTTGTAATATTCCCAAATGTTTCTTTATAATTAATTACCTTTTATTCTAAGATTCATTTTATTAATCCACGTTGCCTTTATTCACTTCTGACTATGTGCAAAATATCTACTGTAGACTACTGTGTGACTACTGTAGCATAGAGTAATCAAGTATACCTCCTTAGTCTATGACTATAAGGTTAAAATATTTTCTGAAAGTAATTTATATTATCCATCAGATAAGCTTCCTACTTAATGCTTAATCTCAGCCCTTACAATCTCTGATGTCTCCTTAACCAGATCAACACATCCAAAGGAAACATAAAGTGTTAATCAGTTACAAATTAATGTCCCCATTTTCAAATTATGCTGGCAATTTTTTGAAAATAGTTGATCTAGCATAATATCCACTAAATAGAAGAAGAGGAAGAAGAAGAAGTAGAAGAAGAAGAAGAAGAAGAAGAAGAACAAGAAGTAGAAGAAGAAGACGACGAAGTATAAGTAGTAGAAGAAGAAGAAGTAGTAGAAAAAGAAGAAGTAGAAGAAGTAGAAGAAGAAGAAGAAGAAGAAGAAGAAGAAGAAGAAGAAAAAGAAGAAGTAGAAGAAGAAAATTAAAGGAAAAGGAGAGATAAATTAAGGAGAAAATGGTAAAGATGAAGGAGGAAAAGATGAATCAGGAGAAAAAGGAAAAGGAGAAAATGATGCTGCAAAATATTTCTTAAATTTAAAGGTAATTGATCTTGATTTATTCTAGAGAGGTAATACCAAATATGAAAGAAGAACTACAACAGAATGAAATAGTAAGTCCACTGTATACAACTTAACCGATCCTGCCAGTATTTTTCTTCTTCGCACTATCAGAGAAAACTCCATTTTGTGTTTCAATTTCATAAAATTAATTCTTGTTTTTAATTTGAATAAAGCTTGTAAAATTAAAATGATACAATTGAAGAATAATATCCAACATTTGGTAATTAAGAACACTAACTGAACCTTTTGTTTCATCAGTGGGGGATTCAGGGGGGAGACCATGAGGACCATGCTCCCAAATGGCCAAGAGAAAAACATTTGTTACATTTTATGAAACGTATGAAAGAAATCAACACAGACTGTTTCTACAACTCACTGATACTGTTAGTTTCAATTGAAATATCTCTCCATTTCAGAAATTTGCGATGCATCACTTGTGATGCAGATGCTGTAATGAACTGTAGGCCTGATATTTTAATTCCTGTTCCACCTAAGTGTCCTGTGAGGTTTCCCATTGCCCCACAGGTAGCCTATGAGTTACATGCTCTTCGATCCACAACTGAGGGGTAGGTGTTATAGACAGTATCTATTTATGATATCTATTTTCATTCATAAAATATAATTTTTAAGACCTAATTGTACAATATTTTGTTTTTCAGATTGTTGAAGAATGCCACAGATGTCTGTAAAATGATTTGTCCATCAGAGACATCTTGTGAAGTTAAGAAAGGAATTGACACACATTGTAAAAGGTATATTGTTTATTTTTTAATATTGATCAATCTGTATTAATTTCACTGATTTGAGTAATTGTAAGGGTCTTCTAGGAAGTTCTGCAATCTTTTTTTAAAAATATGCCTCTGATATATATTGTTCCTGAAAAGTATTAATTTTAATTCAATGTGGAATTATAGCAGTTTTCTTTATTATTTTTGGTAATTGGGAATTACATGTGGCATAATTGCAAGAAGAATTAAGTACTTTAAAAAAAGAGTGAAATATTTTTTAAATCCCTTTTATTAAGTCTTTCAGAAAAGAATTACCCAAACTTGTGCAATTTCCTCTACCTTGATAGTTTTATCTAAATTAGCAAAATATTTGTTCAAACTTTTTTATTTTAATACATTCAAAAGGAATTTTTTGTAGTGATCATGGAATATTCTTTATTGACAGATTTGGTAAGGAAATTTGTACAAATGATCAAATTTGTACTCCTCCAAACACAGCAGAAAGTGTGGTAAAGATCACAGAACTAGATAACTATGGACTTCAAGTTGCACAACTAAGTACAAAGGGTATTCCTCAAAAGAAAATTGAAGGTATGAATTTGTGGAAACAAATTATAAGATGTGAAGAAAAATTATATTTCTTTAAGAATACAAAATAAATATATATCCAATAATATTGTAATTAATTACTTTCAGAACTTGGTGAGATGCCGGACCAACCTGTGACCTCAGTTGACAAAAACATTCGGAAAGCAAGTTGCAAATCTTCAAAAAAGATAAAAAGAAAGCAATAAGCAACATAAAAGTTAGAAAGGAAGCAATGTTTCTCTATAAATGCATTGTAAAATGTTATTTTCTGCAAAGATGTCTGGTATCATGTTTTTGGAGCAAAATAAAGGAAATCAACTTCCTGCTCAAGGAGATTTCTTTTCATATGGATAAAAATTAACCAAAAGTAATCCGAGAAGGGAAAAAATAGCATTATTCATGAGGACTAATAGTGTAATTTTAATGATTCTGAAAGACCTTTTAAACATTTCATTCAGATTATAAGTAATCTCAATGCAGACAAGAACAAAAAAGTTTAAATATTTATTGGAAGTGGAGATTACATCAAAACTGCCCTACCTCTCACAAAATTCTTTCTGAATCCTTATGTGAGCTAATCATCACACACGGTTGAAATTCAGAGTTGGAATTAATAACCAAAGAAACCCAAAAAGTTCAGACATTTGTTTTTCTAAGAATAGGCAGCCAAAAAAATTTATTTTGGCTAAAATAGGGGTGCAAAAATGTAACTATACAATAAAAAATTATTATTAAAAAGGGTGTATTGTAAAAAATTCATAATAATTAAAATAATCCTTTTTTTTTTTAAAAAAATTAAAATTTACATCACTACTTCATGAAAGGAAATGATAATTTCTCTGTAACCATAATTGCACTTGATGTGAATATTTTTCGGTTTCATCACTTAACAGTAGTCTTAGTAACACACTAAATTTTGGTACAGCACTGAGAAAGGCCATATCATGTATCAAGTAAAAAGAGCTCTGACCTCTAAAGGGATCGGAAAGCATTCTCAGAGGTGGGATGAGATTCCTTGTAAGCAAACAATGTCTTTTGGCATCAATGAAAGAAATCCAAGAATCTTGACCAGTGTCACTTTTTTGTGATGATTTTTAATACTTTCTGGCCCAGAAACCCAAGTTTACGGCATCTTGCTAACACAATAATGCCTTCCTTGTATCCAAGCTTGCAAGTGAGTTTCCTGAAGAACGACTGCGAAGACTTTCTGCAGTCCTGTAACTTTACATATTTGGACTTGGATTCCTGACCATGCCTCAAACAGAACTAAAAACATGCATGGCTTTCAAACCCACAGCCTTAGTGCCCATGTACTATGGCTTCCACCACAAGCCCCTGTCTTATGAAGCTGAATCATTTGACTACACTAATATAAAATAAGCTACATCTTGAAACATAATAATTAGATAAATCAAATAACTAAAACTACCCTTTTATGCACATGTGACCTTTAATGGGCTTTGTAATAGCAAATCTGTTTATGTGAAAGATTTTGAAACCATTTATATCTATTATTTATGGGTGATTGGATTTAGCAATTAGGATGTGAAGGGTATGGTTTCCGTAGCAACAATGCAAAGAAAGTTATTTTAGATTTAAAATCTATCCACAATGCATTCAGTAATCAACAACTTTCTCTACAGAAAATGCAGAACATAATATTTACAGCATGTATCAGTTAACATAATTGTTTAGTTTACTTTCATATAATTCTTACAATGAGAAAATACTATATTGTTTTATTAAAACTGATTTACATTTCTTCTCATTTTCTCAATTTGTCAGTCTTCTAATAATAGAATGAAAATAAGACTTAAATAATATTATAGAAGCAGGGGCAGATCTAGAGACAAATTTTGGGAGAGGAAATTAAAAATGTTTTGGTTGAATGAGTCATATTACAGATTTTGTAAAAATGTCACAGATTACATTCGGCTCGTGCTGCAAGTATTTATTTTAGGTTTATTCATTTTAATGATTATCCGAAAATATTTTTGCTTGAAATTTTTTGACAAGTTAAAATTAATAGTTACTGAAAAACTGCCAGCAATAAGAGTTTTTGTGTCGAAAATTCACCTTTTCCAGACACACGACTACAATACTTTCTGTTACAATAGTAAGCACGAACAAGTGAAAGTTGGTTAACATTTACTTATTGAGAGTGGACTCTATTTTTGATAGTCCTGTACCAACCCCATGGATTGTAAAAGTGAAGTTTGGAATCATTTAGCCAACACAACAGAACCAATGTATTTTTGTAATAATGTACAACAAATACTGCCCGCGAGAGGAATGGTGTCGTATCTTTAATCTCAAACTTGTAAGGCGCTTCGCTACGCGTGCCCAATTTTATCACGAGCCCCCGACGCGTCTATAATACGCGATTGACATAAACATACTTGAGTCCGTCCAACGTAGGGCTCCAGGGGGCAGCGTAAGGGGTATTGGGGGGGGGGCGGTACACGGCCGATAGATCTGAGGCTGCAACGAGGAGGCGGTCCATGTTGCCGGGTTCGCCCTGTAACCCATCAGTTGGGCTCCTACCCGACCTTTCAGCAGGATTGGATGCCTTCTTCCAGCTGGATGGACTTCTTCCTAAATCTACATATAGAAGTCCGAGAGGGAAGAATGAATCTTCGGTCAGGTTGCCTTATAGCGTTGTTCACACACCACTGACAGACGAACAGATGGACAATCGGACGGACGGACGGACCTTTTGAAAAAAAAACACATTTTCGATAACAGGGGACTCAAAAACGTGTATTTTCGTTGAAATCTAGAAGAGATGGTTCGCAGCATTTCATTACCTTCTTAACTACCTACATTATCGTTCGTGTATTCGTATGTAAACTAGGAAGTAAAAAGGTTATCAAATGTGTTTTTCTGTTTAATAGAATCCAAAATTATTCAATACTTTTTTAAGAATCAGGAATTCAAAAGGTAACTTTATTCACTAAATCATGACTTTTTGTTCTTTTTGTTTCTTTTTCAAATTATGCTTTTTGCTTAAATCATGACAAATCAAACCTTTTAGGTCTGTTTGCCTTAGAATGTGCACTGAAAAAAATATTAGTTCCGTTTACCACGAAATACAAAGTACTATAACTTTTTAAATTAATATTAAAATCAAAACGCTGGTCTCAAAATTGTCGTGTGCTGTGATAACTTTAATTGTGCGCCAGTCCACTTTTCGATCGTACATTGTTCGATCAGATTCGATTATTCTTCGATTAAGCTCTCACCGCTGCAGCGAATCCTCAATGAGGCAAATAATGGGAGAAGGAGAGAGAAACGCAAGAAGAATCTAGGGAACCAAGAACCATCAAATGACAAAAGTTGTAATGTTGTAATGCGATGCTGTGAATTATGGAATGAAGAGGAATGAATGGCCGTAAAATCAGTAAGGAGGTTGGGGGGGTGCGGTGGTAAAAGGTATAATATCTGAGTAAAATTATTTTGGACATCTCAGTTTATGTCACTGAGAAATGTATGTGAAAAGTTGACATGACTCTAACCGTGAAGATCACTTCTCTCAAATTTAAATAGTCCGGCGCTTCTCCGGAGCTGAACACGGTGTTTTTGTGAGTGCCGTTTTATGCGTAATGTTCGTATATAACGATGGACACGACGTGCTGCTAGCGTTTCCCAGTATCGTATATTATGGAAACATTTGACGGTTAATATCTGGCGAATTGCCAATAAACTAGAGATATTTGGTGCAAAATTAGCATAATTGTATTGAAAGTGTGCAATGTTATGATGCGAGCTGCCGAAAACTTAGATATTGTTATCCATAACCTTTCCTCGTAGTTAAAATTGAGTGTTAGTCCACTAGTTATAGTGATAGCTATTTTTTTCTTTCTGTTAAATAACATAATATTTTCAGGGATGACATTTTTGTGATAGTGGTACACGAATGTAGGGTAGAGCTCATTTAAGGAAACCAAATGTAAATGTGCATGCTTGATTATAAGAAATTTATAACTTTTTACCATGTGTATTTCAACACATTGTACTTTATTCCGCTAATGAAGTCATATTGCCAGAAGTGCCCTTTGTAACTCTTTAGATAAACACTTTTAACGAAGTTAGAAAGTATGTGAGTAGATTAGTTTTGAAGTGTGTTGTAATAATATCTTGCTGACTTATTATAGAATATTGTAGTAGAAGTTATGTACTGCCAGTTGTTTCTAAAATGGTAAATGATCTCTGGAGAAAGTCATTAGTAAATACAATTACTTTTTATTCACAATATCAGTAAACTATTTCTTGGACATTTATTGTTTCCTGTTGTCAAAAACAAAAATGCATAGACAAGCTTTGAAAGCCACTTTTCTGTGAAAAAGCTGTTATAGAACTAACTGGCAAATGTAATAGTGAATTGTGCTTGATGGTAGTATGTTTATTCGTAGGTTGCTTGTTTAGGACCCTGCGATGTTTATTGGGCAGTAGACCTCTACACACTTGTTGAATGTTTGCTTCCGGCCTAGGTTGCAGCCTTCCGTTTCCCAGCTGCCTGGGTTACCCCAGTGCGGAGGCTACGGAGGAACAACTCCTCCCCAAAATGGCACGGGAGCCTGTCATTCTAAATGTTTATGACATGGTAAGTGAACTTCTAAAGGTAATTTTTGAATTAATAAATCACTGTGTAGCTCATCAATTAAAATATTTTTCTATCTAATATTCAGTGCCCTTTGTTGAATATATGGAGTTTTGGAGGTTTCAAATATTAAAAGGAAAGCAATCTTCATTAAAATGTTGAATCAGTAGAATTTTCAGCATAAAACTTAAATATGTTATTTAGAATATTCGTGAGAGGGGAGTTAGGATAGTTTTCGGTCATGATTATAAATAATTTTATTCCTGCAACATATAAAAATAAATATGCTTTCAGAAAAACATATTTATTTAAGTAAATTATATTGCTCATTGTTTTGAACTTCTTGTCTTGGTTGTCAGTGATTTTTCTAGCATCAAATTAGTTTTGTTGATGGGATAACTCAAAGCTTGCAAACGCCTTCAGTCAGGCACTGTTTCATTACATGTTGTATATATCAGTGTTAGCCATTAAGTGTAAGACACAATATTGAAGGCATTGGTTGGAAGTATTATTATGGAGGGCAAAGATATGATTCAATTGCTATTTATTTAGTAATTAATTTGAAGTTGTTTTATCTAAAGTTTGGTATCATCAGATGTCCATTGTTCTAATCTTTCTTGAATGGGATTGTCAAAAGGTATCCTACAAATTATTAGTTTGAGTTTTAAAACACTTTAAATGGTTTAAACTTTCTTTGCTAAAAACTTTATATTTGTAAGATTACACCTTCATTCACCAATGCCTTCAGTTATTTTCTGCCAAGTTTTTATTGTAAAAGATTCTTTCCAATTTTATTGGATATTTACA